TTGGTATCAAGATCAAATTCACAACCTAGAACTTATCAAGTGAGCCTTTGAAGCACAGAGCTAAAACCCAGCTGACCTCTCTTTTAATGGCTAATTCACCCTATATTCATGTGTCCTGTCTCCTCTGCTAGACTACCCTCCAGGAGGGGCAGGTCCTATGGCCTCATTCGCTAGTGCTTTTTTTAAAAAATGCATTTTATTTTAAAGACAAAAAAAATAAAGCAAAATTTTAAAACATAACAGTCGGGGACAACGATGCTACACACATTGCCCATTGCCATTCCCAATCAGTCACCAAGAAAACAAGACATCTGCATTCAACTGTTCAAACAATACTAGCACAAAACTTTCCCTTCAACAAACTCAGAGAAATCAGTAGTATAACTATATAACTATATAACTATATATATATAAATATTTTATATATATAGTTTCTTTCAGCGTCTTACACTAGGGAGACAACATGATGTTTACACATGCATGTCTGATTTATTTCACTTATGAGTATGGTCTAGAGTTGCATCCATTTACCTATAAAAGTCTCAAGTTTGTTCCTGAGTAGTGGGACTTCTTCTTTATGGCTGAGTAGTACACCACTGCATAAAAGTACCACATCTTTTTTATACATTCCTCACTCAATGTGCAGTTAGTTTGTTTCCAAGATCTACCCATTACAAATTGTGCTGCTATGAACATGGGTGCATATATACCACTGTAGTATGATGTTTTTAATTCTTCTGGGAAGATACTGAGAAAGGGAATAACTGGGTCAAATAGGACCACCAATCCTAGATTTTTGAGGAATCTCCACTCAGATTTCCACAGTGGTCGCACCAGTCCACACTCCCACCAACAGTAGAAACAGGTTCCTTTTTCTCCCATAGCCCCTCCAGAATTTGTTATTGGTTGATTTCTTGATACAAGTCTTTCTTTCTGGGGTGAGATGAAATCTCAGTGCTGTTTTAATTTGCATCTCTCAATGACCAGTGATGCTGAATATTTTTTCACATATTTATTTGTTGTCTGTATTTCTTTATCTGAGAAATGTATATTCATCTCAGATGCCCATTTTTAGATTGAGTCTTTAAATCTGTGATTTTTTTTTCAGTTCTTTATATGTTCTTGACAGCAATCTTTTGTCTGAGGTACAGCTGGCCATCATTTTCTCCCACATGGTGGGTTTTCCGTTTATTCTGTTGGAAGTTTCTCTTGCTGTACAAAAACTTTTTAGTAAGATGAGATTCCAGTTGTTGCTTCTTTGTGACAGTTCCCGTGCAGTTGTGATTTTGTTCGTAAGTCTTCGCCTACACAAATGTCCTCAAGAGTTTTACCTAGTATGTTCCAGCAGACTTAATTTTTTTTGAGACAGAGTTTTGCTATGTATTTCTGAGTCACCGTGAAGTTACCATGTAGCTTAGCTTGGCCCTGAAATTGCTGCAGTCCTCCTACTGCTGCCTCCCGAGAGCTGGGATTACAGGTGTGTGCTACGTGCAAATGCCTTGAGTGGGCATTTAGACCCACTGAGTGGGCCTGGCATTTACAGCCAGTAATGAAAATGTTTGTTAAGTGAATGCATGAGACTGGGGAGGGAGAGACAGGTGGGCCACAGGCTGGGGTAGCTAATGGCCAAGGGGTGTTTACAGGAAAGGCCAGGAACTTCAAAGTTTCAGTGCAGGCGCAGTGTAAGGGGAGGTGCACGCTGCATTTCTGTATCCAGGACAGAGAGTTTAGAGCCCCTCACTTTCTGCATGTGCATGCATGTGTGTGTGCACACATGTGTGTGCATGTTTGCACAAGTCTGCAGTGGAAGCTGGGAACACTGTAGCACAATGCGAGGACACCAGGACGGGCCTCAGTGGGCTGGATATAGCCTCTGCCCCATGCACCTGCCCAGTGGAATTCAGCACCAAGCCGTGACTGGGGACCATGCACAGCCATGCCCTCCAGGGGCACTCAGAGCTCACCTCGAGTGGGTGCACACCAAGGACCCTCTGCACACTGCAGGAGGGAGTGATTTCCTGTCTCGGCCTGAGGCAGAGCTTAATGAGTTGGGGCCACTGACTGTGGGCTGCTCCGTCCTCTAAGCTGCCTGCTTCCTGAACTCTGACGCTGACCAGAGCCTGGTCTGCTAGGTGTCCTCTGTGCCTCAGTCTCCCCACTGAAAGGGAGCTGTCCCAGGACTGAATGTGGAACGATGTCACTATTTGGCCCAAGACAATGCCAGTGACAGGCCATGCAGGTGACCAAATGGACCACAGCTGCTGGACCATGCTACGGACAATTTCTTCACAGACAGGCCCTGCCTGCCACCACTTCTAGTTCCTGGAGGCCCCAGGGAGGGGATCGACGGCACAGGACAGCGGGGTCAAGCACCTGTGTCCAGCTGGGCGGGGCACTGTCTGCCGGCCCTTCCCAGCCACCTGCTATATACTTCGTGGCTGCACCCAGCCAGTCCTCTGCTGGAGCAGAGTCCGTGGAAGAGTCCAGGCCTGACCCAAAAGATGAGGATGCCATGGCCAGGGAGGCCTTCTGGGAACCCAGTACGCCCTGGTTGGGGTCAGGAGAGGGAGGGTGCAGTGGAGAGGCCTGTGGGCAGAGGATGTGGCCAGCTGTCACCTTGCTGTCTGCTGCTCTGCCGACTCCAGACCCTCTCTGAGCTCGACTCCCCCGTAAGAAGAGAGAAATTTTGGTCGGACCTTGCCAGATGGCTGGAAGATTTGATGCCTGAACTTTGCAATTGGCAAGGATACGTTTATAGGAACAGAAACATACAGGTGCTGCTTCTCATGCTCGGCGCAGGGTCCCAGCCCTGGTCCCCAGCTCGCTGCTCCCTCTCAGCCACAGAAGTGGTCAGCAGGCCCTGGGTCCCAGTCCGGGCTGTGCCTCTCTGCTCTGTGCCCTGGGTCTCCATGGCTCCCCCCAGGTCTGCCCACGAGTTTCTCTCTCCTTTCCCGTTCTCTACCCAGAAAGAAACTCAGCCTGGGACATCCTCTCCTCTCTCAGGAGGGGGAGGGGCTCTGGCGTGTGGGAGCACAGGGCCTGGGTGTCCCAGCCCAAGGCAGACCCCTCCTTCTCCCTGCTGACTCTAGGTAGCAGGGCTTTTTCTGCCAGGTGCCATTGCTCTTCCTCTTTGGGGGTCCCTAGAGGGTCAAGCAGGGATGCAGTGCCTGTGGATATGTGTGATCTGCGAGGTGTGTGATGTCAGGGGCACTCACTCTCAGTGAGCGTGTGTGGATAAGTGGTGTGTGTGAGCATGCACGGCAGGTGTGGTATGGTGTGTGGTGTGTGGTTAATGGTGTGCAGTGTGCATGTGGTGTGGCGTACACGTGTGGGTTGGGTGGGGTGAAGGTGGCTGCTGCCTGGTGAGGGTCTGTTCTGCTTAGTAGGTGGCAGCTCTCAGGGTGCAGCAGGGCTGTGGGGCTGGAGGCCCTGGAGAGGATCCAGGTGACTGGTTTGGGCTTTGCAAGTCAGGTGAGCGTGGGAGTTTCCATTTTTCCTGGAGACTGCATCCCTTCCAGGGCATGGACAGTGCCCTGGCCAGTGGGACTTTCTGGAGCTATGGAAATGCTGTGCCTGCACTGGCCCCTGTGTGCCTGCTGAGCACAGAATGTCACTCCAGTGTGTGAACTCAAATCACCATGCTTGGCTTGTGGTCACTGTTTACAAGGACTCAGAAGGGCCCAGAACAGAGCCAAGTATTTGTTCTCTGCTGTTTGACACAGGTAAATTGAAACCCTAAAAGCTGTGATCTGAGCTTGTACTGAATATCATGAAAATGTAGTGATCTTCAAAAATGTTACTCAGATGCCTGCAGGCATGGAATGCAAGGTTTGGGGAGGCTGAGGACACAAGATCAGCGTGCATGGGTGTCTCTGACTCCACTCTGCAGATGTGCACGTCCAGGCCCAAGTCCTGACAGTGGTCTTCTGTTGGGAAGCAGTGTGGACTGGTGGTTGGGGCTGGGATCATGTCCCAGCTCTGACACCTTCCTGGAGTAAGACTTTGATTTTGAGTGCAGTATTCACCCTTTTGGTGGCTGATTTCATCTTGGTGTTGACAACAGTGCCTACCTGCTGGGCGGGAGAGTGGCCCAGGCTAAATAAGAGTGGTTGTGGGTACTGTAAGTGCTCAGTAGGTGTGTGCATATTGTGGTGGTGGTGGCAGCAATGGGAACCCAAGCACATACTGTAGATGCATGGAGATGCCAGCCACAGCATGGGCTTTGTGCTTTGGGAGAGGAGAGTGGGACACGACCAGGCCAGCACTTTTCCCTTGGATCTTGTGCGACTAGGGTGTTAAATGCCTGCACAGGCCATAGATGCTGAAGGTTTGTCACCACACGGTGGTGCTGTTGGAAGAGGTGGAAGCTTTCAGAGGTGGAGCCTGGTAAAGGGAAGTAAGATCACTGGAGGTATGACAGGAAGGACATGCAGAGACCCCAGCAACTCTGGGTTTCCATTTCACTTCCTGGCTGCCAGGAGGGGAACAGACCTTGGCATCTGTGTGCTCCCACCATAATGTGCTTTGTGGCCCAGGCTCAGAGTAATGCGGCCAGGCAACCATGGACTGGGACCTCTGAAACCGTGAGCCCAGACACATCTTTCCTCCTTGATATTGGATCATCTTCAGAATTCTGTCCCAGCACTAAAAATCTAACACAGACCTCATCCTCAGTGGGACTGGACGCTAGTCCCCTGCCCTCTTTACCGCTGAAAGGCTCCACAGGAAATGCTCCAATCTGTGTTTCCAGTCTGTGCCTAGAGATTTCTGCACAGATTAGGCACTCAGATCTGGCAGAGTCTAAATTGCAGCTCTGTGCTCTCTGGCAAGATTGGGATTCTCTCTGTCACAAAGATGGACTGGGTACTGGGCATGTGGCAGTGCACGCAGTGACAGGACTTCCTGCAAGCCCTGGGGCTGCCTGCTTTGTGTCTTTTCAGGCTCTTCAGGCTCAAAGCTTCCCCACAGTCAGGAGGTCAGGAGAAGTTGGCTCCGGCACCATGAGGGGCACCCTGTCTGCCCTGGCCATCACAGCTGTACGTGAGTGAAGCCTCGTGGTTCCCTTTTTGGAACAAAGACCTCCTTGTGCACCTCACCAGAACCTGCTTGTTCTTGGCGCCCTTGGGACCTCTCACTAGCGGGAGCATGAGATCCCTCCAGGTGCCCTGCATTCAGAGGTTGCTGTGTGTACTTGGTCCAGGCTCGGCCTTCCTGCTGGGGGACTGTGGGAGGCAGGAGGAGGAAGCGATGGGCATGGCTGCTGCCACCTGAGATGTGAAAATCACCCAGAGAGGAGACTTGGCTCAGTGACCTGGAGGTCTGGAGTGTCTGTTTCTCCACAGACGGTGGCCAACCTCAGGGAGACTTGGAGAAGAAAAAACCAAGAGAGCTCTCTGGCTCTTATTTGGAATCTCAGCAGGAGACCAAGGAGCTGGGGCAGGAGCTGCCTCTGGGCTGGGCAGTGTTCCTTAGGGAGAGGGATGGACCTGCCCGACACAGTGGCTTCCCCAGTCTGAACTTCTCCTTTAACCATGGGGCTCTCACATGGCATGTGCTCTGTGCCCCACACCTTCACCATTCAGTCCCCACAGAGGCTGTGTGATTTGCCCCACAGCTTAATCATTTGCTTCTCACAGCTTGTGTCCTGGCTGCCTTCCAGTTTAATTATTTGCATGGTTTTGCCAAGTACTTTAGCCATTCCCTCCTCATAGAGCCTGTCTGCATTCACTCCCAGGCCCCCCAAGCCTCGTCTCATGACATCAACTGTGGGGAACCCTGGAATGCTGGGATGCCACCTCCATCTGTGTATCTGACCCCGTGGTGAGCGTGTGCCCAAGGAGGGGCTCAGAGTCTGCTCCCCACGTGTTCCCCACGTGCTGACCGATGCGCCCTCTTTCTCCTCAGAATCCCTGAACTGCATCCAGAGCAATTCATTTACCAACTCCTACATCAACGTCAGTGCGTCTGAGTGTCCTCTGAATGCCAGCACCAGCTGCCTCAGCTCCTGGGCCAACTCCTCTCTAGGTGAGCTGGGGTGCCCTGCCCTCACTTGGTAGGAGCTGAAGAGGGAGCCAAGGGGGCTGGGCTGGGCTGGGGTGGGCCGGATTGAGGCTGCGTGAAGGTGACTGGGCGTTCGAACCACGGATGAGCGAATAAGCAGGAGTCCCAGAGCAGGGCAGGCAAGCAGGCAGGGCCCTGCGGGGCCTTGGGTGTTGCTGCCCCCAAGCCTCCGTCCTGTGCACGCCAGTGGGTGCAGGGAACAGGAATAGCTCTCAGATGAACTGCTTGCTCGTCTTTTCCCACTCTCCGTCTCCCCTTCTCGATCAAGACCGCCTTGCCAGGCCTTGTGATTGCAGCCCCGTGGCAGTGACCTCTCTCTCAGGACACTGAGCGTTCTGCACGCAAACGCAGGAAGAAAGCGCCGGGCACTCGCTCTGCCACCGCCACCGGGTTGGGGTCAGCGAGCTGGGCGGCGCATTCCCAGCACACCCTGTAGTGTCTTAAAGCAAATGCATGTGCACACGTGCAGTCACTGCGCCCCACGTCCACATCACTATTCAGCTCCAGTAAAGACATTTTTATAACCACCATGTCATGACCGTGCCTAAGACATTAGCCATAATTCTTTAATTCGTTCTGTTGCCCAAGTCTTTTTACAGTTCCTCAGTTGTCTCAAAGATGCCACAGGGCAGGTAATTCACAGGGTAGGGCTAGGTCCCAAATAAAATCCCCACATTACATTTTACTGTTAAAGCTGTTAATTCTAGTTTTTTTTTTTTTTTTTTTTTTTTTTTTTTTTTTAATGATAGTGACTATTACTTTTTTTTTCTTTTTGCTCAGTCCCATTGATTGGTGGGAAAATGGGGCTGTTTTCTGTATCTGGCTTGGCTGGTTCCCCCTTTGTGGGATCGGTTCACTTGTTACCCAGTTCCTGGTGTTTCTTGTAAATAAACTAGCACTGTTCAGCAGTATTTTGCAGAACGATGGAAATACCGATGTCCATTCTGTCCTATTCAGTGTCCACACATGGCTCTGAAGCACTTGAAATAGGGCTGTATGGTGAAGGAATTTAATTCAAAATTTTACTTAATTGTGATGAATTTGGGCTTTAAATGTCCAATTCGGTAGCTACTATATTGGCTGGCTCTGGGCTCAAAGCTTGCCTGGGTATTGCTCACCCTCGAAGTGGGAGGCAGAAGGGATGCTGTGGACATTCTGCTGTTCCAGATTCCTGGCAGCCTTTGCAAAGAGTGTGACCCACATCTTTGATAATGTCCCAGAAGGAGGTGCCAATGGTAGGATCTTTCCACCTTTGGAACCACACTGGGCGCAGGCAGCATTTTCTGCCTTCGGTTGCAGTGTTCTCTCCTCAGGTCCCTGCCCTGCTCGGGGCCTGACAGTCTGTGTTTGCTGTGTGTAGGACAAATGTCACCTTGTACCAGGACATGCTCGGTGGCCAACTGCAGTGGGGAGACGGATTCACTTCTCCCCTTCACTGTCCACATGTCTGATGGAGATCGCTTCAATTTCAGAAGCCAGTGCTGCCAAGGGAAGATGTGCAATGCCACCAGCGATACCCTGGGTTTGTGCTGCTGTGGGGGCTCCATTGTCCGCCAAGCCCTGCCTTTTGCCATCTGTGCTCCTGGATGTTGCATGAATGCTGGAGGTCCAGACAGTTCAGGGCATGCCTGGATAGCACTCGCATCTGGCTTACACAAGATGGCACCACAATGCTCCTCTCCCCTTTGCTCAGAGAGGACAGATGTCACAAGCACTCTGATCATGCAGAGGGGGCATGAGATCAGCGTCCTCAGATGTGGCCCCAAGTCCTCTGTTAAGACCCGAAGCCCTAAAAATTATTGAGGATCCCAAAGAATGCCTGTGGCATGGATTCCACCCAACAATGTTTACTGTAATAGAAACTAAAGCTATGAAATTCAAGAATCTCAATTGGTTCACTGCAAAATTGCAGTCATTACACATAATGCCAATAGCTCCTTTATGTAGAAACCCTTCCATTTTTCCAAGACAAAATATGTAATGAGAAAAGCAGTAGCATCGTTGTTGCATATTTATGCAGAGATCTTTAGAATCTAGCTTAGAATAAAGCAGCTGGGATTTCCTGTTCCCTGAGTGTTTGTAATCTCCACATCATGCAACTGGAGAACTCAACTCCATAGGCATGAGACAAAGGGAATGAGAGAGGAAAAGAGTGTGTTTCTATTTTCCTGAAAGTGGTTTTGGTCTCTCAGACTTCCTGTATCAGGTCTCAGAGTTTCCAGGGTCTCTGCACCTCAGCTTAGAACTGCTGATCTAGATGAAATCCCTCTTTTGGAAGATGACAAGTTGTGACCCAAAAGGCAAGGTTCATTGCCCATGGTCATGAAACATGGCAAATTAAAGAAAAGAGCTCCTTCTCAATATGTTTTTTTGCACCTACTTGCAATATTAAATAATGGCATGTGTTTGTTTATTCAATAGATTTTGTAATAGAGCCCTATTTGCTGGTATTCAGAATAGCCAGCTAATGAGATTGGCTATAGGTCAGCACTAGCTTGAACCCTTAGCTTTTCCCTATCAGTCTGCACCCAGAGCACTAAATGTCTACAAGGTAGGTGTGTGGGCGGGGTGCCCGGAAGTCTGGATCTGAGACCCCCTAGGATGCCATTCCCTATCTCCCAGCAGTGTCTTTGCTACCCTGTCCCTTCCTCCCGGCAGCGCTCTGTCCTGCATGCCAGCCCCAACCTGAATGATGATTCTTCCTGTGCCCAGATCCTCCACCAGAAGATCTTTCCAACACAGAGTGCCTTGCTTGTTCCAGGCCTACATCACATCCTGTGTGGAGAAACCCCAGAAATGTTACAGAGAAGAGTGATGCAACTATCTCGTTGCCCAGTTTAATCACGGTGTGTCTTGGCGCCCCAATTCATTTATGGGGATTGGGTTGAAGCTATGTCAGCCTTCCTGGGGCTGTGAGTTACAATAGCACAGAATTGCTGTGACGAGCAGGAGGATAGGGTCAGGATGTCTGCAGGATGGATGGTTACTGAAGCCTCAAGCTGTGGCTATTTCTGTCTTTTCTTGGTCCAGAGCTGCTTCTGGTAGGCTTCTTTATACTTGAACTCTGTTCTCCCATGGCTTAAACTCAGGCCACGCTTATTTACTTGCTTTGCCACACTCCTGACACTCCTTTGCCTGGTTGCTGTCATTCTGTGGATGTGGGTGGATGACTTTCTCTCCTTTTATGCCTACTTTTTATCCCACCTGATGTGGCAGGTACCAGCTTGCTGTAGCTTGGATCGTGTAACAGCAAGTCAGTCTGTGCCTTAAAATCCAACCCACTGTCCTTTCTTATAGAACTAACTTGATACAACCTGGATATCTTGGGGCTCTAGGGGACAGACATTTGTTTCTTGGTCATGCAGCGGTTCATTGCAGAGTTCAGGGCATGTGTCACATCCATTCTGCAGCTCTGCTTCTTGATCACCCAGGACTTGGTATTCTCTGCTGTATCCCGTGCATCTCACACAGGGAAGGGAAGCACGGCAGTGGGAGAGGCCAGAAAGTTTCCATGATTCCCTCCTGCATCCCCTGGGCTGGGACCCAGTTACAGGGCCAGCCTGGCTGCAGGGGAGGCAGATAAACACAGTCTAGAGTTTCCACAAGGAAAGGATGAGATGGAACCTAAACATGAACAACCAGCCAGTCCCTGCCAAAACACAGCTCAGAGTAAGGAGTGCTAAAGAGCACTGACTCCCAAATTCAACTTGAAGCCAATTTTCCTTAGTGTCAACTCTAGTGTTTTAACTGTAATTGTGGATTTTCCAGTGCAGCCAAGAAATTAATGTGAATTCCTATTCACTTCTTGTTTAAAAATAGGATTTGTTTTTACAGATGGTTTAGAGGGTTCAGAAAGCATTGGAGGTTCCCATCTACACCTGCACCACATCTAGAGTCTCCCCTGTTGCCACCCCACCCCAGCCCCCATTGAGTGGTACATTCTGAACAAGTGGTGACTCCACATTGACACTGTTATGAGCCAGAGGGCTTCAGTCAAATTGTAGTTTCTCTGCCTTAAAAGTCCTCCATTCCCCTCACTCCTTCCAGGAGGTGCCGGCGGCTGCTGATCTATTTACTGATTTACAGTTTTCCTTCTCCAGAGTGCCTTACAGCTGGACTCACTGGGTAACCTTATCAAAATAGCTTCTTTTCCTCCCTACTAATATGTTCACCACCCTTTATTGTTTTTCTGTTTGGTGCGGGTGATTGAATCCAGGGTTTTGCACATGCTAAGAGCTGTCTTTCCCACTGACCTATACCCCACCAAATCCCATTTTTAAAAAATTCCTGGTGTGATTCACAGCTGTGGTTTTTAGTTCTCTATCTGAGTTCAAGGGCAGCAGTGACGAGCAGGGTTTCTTTGCTCGTCATGTTCCCAGGGCCCTAAAATGAAGACTGGAGACTTTTCCTCAAAGCCTGGGTGAGGCTGAAAGCGGACAGATGAAAGCCAGCCTAGATGAAATTTTCCTTGCTCTTCTTGCAGCACTGAGAGGGGTGCACCCAGCAAGGCCTCTCCCCACTCACAGCCTTGTAGCCTCCTGCCCTGACACTTGCCATGAAGCAACAGATTGCCTTTGTACTTTGGAAGCACAGAGTCACTTCCCGTGCTTGTGTCCCATCTGTCTTCTGAGAGCTTCCTGTGTCCCAGGGCTGTCTGAGTTGTAGCCAACGGGGCAACTGCAACACACAGTGTTGGCTTCTGCTGAAATGGCCGCTGGGTCCTGTTGGCGATGGCTGTGGTGGTCTCTGATTACCTGCACAGCTGAGCTTTAGGACACCATTCCCTAGACATCTTCAGTTAGAGAATATCCCTGAGGCTCTCTTCACAACTGGCATGTTTACAGTTTTGCACCCTTGAGCCTACAAAGGGCAGTGTCTGTCCAGTTCGTGAGATGACCTCAAGGCCCTTGGCCTCGTCACTGTTCAAAGTCCTTGGTTTCATTTTAATGCTAAACTTTTCAGCAAGTGTGCTCTCTAAGGCCTCAGTTTTGTACCACCTTGTGGGTGGCTGCAATGGTTCTACCTTGTGGTGAGACTCTCAAGACTGTATATTTTCCCTAATCAACACACAAGAAGCTTTTAAATCAACACATGCAAAGTCATGTGACAGCATAACTTGAAGGCAGATAGTAACTCAGCTTCACAGGAAACTGTAAACCAAGCCAGAATGCTCATCAGGTCTCAGGACACAACCTTCCTCCTAGCCTACCCTTACAACACCAATGCTCTTCCATGGTGCTTTGCAGCAAGCAAAGAATGAGGGGACAGGAGAGAGGGGAGAGCAGCTAATAGAGAAGCCAAAGATTGGTCCCTAGACCTAAGTCCTAGGCCTGAAGATACTTAATAGTATCGAAGCAGAGCTATTGAACACCATCCTGAAAATATTCAGAATAAAATCAGACAAAAGAAATTGATTATATGCATAGAAAAGTTAAAGAAATAAAGTATAAATAAATGGTAAATTCTAACAAATAATATTAGTGATACTAAAATAAATACAATGTCTTGTTTTTACTTCTCCAACCAAAACATAGCTTTGCATCTCCTGTTCAAAGGTCTATGTTTCATTTCTGCTATACTTTCTACATTTCCTTGAAAAAAATAGCCAGTTAATAATTTAAATAAATGAAAATAAATTCATTTAAGACCTTGGATGTAGACCTTGGATAAAAAGTGCTGCTATGATAACCCCATCTTTCCTAATATCCTAGGCCTCTCCTAGGACTTCAATTTCAAAACATGACTAAATGTAACTCAGTTTTTAGGTAAAAACACCAGGTTTTCCCTAGGTCACTTCTTACTATATTTCCCTTTTCTTGGGGAAAATTCAGACAGAGGAAAGTCAGAGTCAGAGCAGGGGAACGACAGCAAACCTGGGAAGGGAACAGGAAACCAAGTGAAAATCACCTCCTCACAGAAAGCCACGGGGCTGCCTTCTGAACCCGTGCCTGGCTCTGGAGCAGGCTCACTGCCACACAGGAGCCCAGGAGGTGCAACTCCAGGGCCAGTCTGGTCTTCATTTTGAGCTTGGACTCTCAATTTGCCTCCTGGACTCAGTTTCCTCAGGGTCAGTGCAGGAAGGGTGCAGGCCTGGCCTCCATGGTCCCTCTTCCCTCACTCTTTGGTATTCTGGATTCCTTTCCCCTGTACGGGCTTCAGGGTCAGATGAGCTCTGGCAGATCACAATGCTGTCACCTGCAGGCAGAAACAAGAGCAGGCCAGGTAGGTGGTGGGTGGGGACTCAGGGAGTCCTCACCACCAACTCAGACACAGCCACTGAGACCCTGGTGCTGAAAGGCTGCTCCAGCACTAGGACCTCCACCTTCTGGCTCCTGTCTGCCAGAAGCCAGATGGTAGAGGGACTCACCTTCAAGAAGGTTGAATGTATAGATGCCTCCCTAGTCACCACTTACAAACCAAGCCTGGGCTCTGAGCCTTCCCCAGCCTGTTGGCCCTTGCCAGCCTCTTTCTGCTGCCCTGAGGTCCAGGGCTCTGTCCCACCTCTGTCCTGAGATGGCACTGTCATTGCTCATGGGTTGGAAGTTTCAGGACCTTCAGGTAATGCTGCCAGCAGCGCTGATGTCTGCTATTAAAGTGTCGATCTTCTCACTGGGTAGTTCTGTGCTGATTGTTCTGGGTGGGATGGCCTTGTTTGAGCCACCACCCAATACCCCTGCCCACTTCTGGATGGAAGTGACATCCTTGCTTTTGAAATAGGGGGATGCTTGTCTCATAACTTGAAGATGTCCTTGCTTCTGGCCCATCTTGCTTTTGTGAAGCTAATCTTTGCTGGTATCTACTACTTGCAGCCCCAAACTTTGGGTCCCACCATCATGAACCCCATACTCACACACAGGGTTGCCCAAGCTGAGCCACACAATACCCTGTGTTGGTTTCAGGGCCAATACAGAAGCTTCAGTGGCTCTTTAATCTTGTCTAATATCAGGTTCTCCAGTAATCATCTTGTATGTGGTCAGAAACCCGCAGTGTATGAAGAAGACAAGAATGTCACTACAGGCTCCTCTCCCCAGGGAGTCCCTACAGGGCACATGCACAAAGGCTGCTAAGGACCAGAATTCTCCTACCATGGCTCAGCTCCAGGCAGGGGTATCCTCAAGTTAGCTGGTGTCACGGTGTGCATGTAGATGTCCCCTCAAAGCCTTCTGCATTCATAGCAGGGTCCTTTGAAAGGTGACTGGACTCTAGGGCCCTTAGAGCTGACTTGCTGGTGGTATGAGGTGCAATCTGATTGGAAGAGGTGCCTCACTGGGGTGAGCCCTCAAGCTTATCTCCTTCCTCAGCTCTTCCCTTGGTCCTTGGCTTCCTGTCCACCATGCTGTGAGCACCTCTCCCTGCCATGCAACTCTGCCGTGCTATTCTGCCTTTGGAGTCATTTGACCATGGGCTTAATCATGAGCCAAGACAGATCTCCCCTTGTTTGAGTTGTGGGTGTTGGATATTGTGTCTCAGCAAAAACGAAAGTGACTAAGTCAGTACGCAACAAGGAGGGTTTCCTGGAGGGTGGCCAGAGCAAGAGCCAGGAGGTTCTCAGGGGATTACCAGTAACTCATGATTTAGATGAAAGCCTGCAGTGCTAGATACCAGAGTAGGAGTGGGATGGGGTTTCAGTTCTGTCAAGTCTGCCCAGACTGCAGGTTTAGGTTGAAAGATGGCAAAAAGATGGATCAGGAGCCAATTAAAGAGAAATAGTGATATCCTCCATGGGATTGTGGTAGCTGGTGCCCAGGCATGGGACATAGACCCACTCATGTGCCCACTTGAGCATAAGCTGGTGTTCAGTGACAAAGAGCTCTATGTGATGAATGGCTGATGACATTTGCAGAGAAGCACAGCAAAAAAGAGGTGAGTGCTTGACACAGGTTGTTGGAGACCACTATGAAGCAGCTCTGAGCAGGATTTAAAGTTTACTAATTGGCTTTCTATGTTTATCTGTGACTCTGTCCTAGGCCACAGCCCCTTGCCTGGCAATGGGAGCTGATTCATAGTAAGTGAACCTCTATGAATCACTGGTCCTGGCTGAGGCCTGGAGTGGCCTGTGAGTCCAGAGATACCTTAAATGGCAAGATAAGGCTACAACTACGGACACTTGGCTCCAACCCCAATTAACAAGGTAGAGACTGCAGCTGCAGAAATTACTCCTACAGTCTCACTTCTACCATGTCTTCATGATAAGACAATGCTACTGAATTGACTTGATTCATGATTGGAGACATCCTTGAAGTGTCTTGTAAGGTCCTGCTCATTGCCTGCATTTTCCTCAGTCTCTCTACCCCTTGTCCTTGTTCCTAATATAAGTTGCCTGATCCAGAGAATCCTTTGTCTTTACCCTCACAGCCTCAAGATTAATTAAAGGGTTTTGACCATCCTAGAGCCCTAAAAATCATACAATTTGTCTCTTTTTATTTAACCTCTACCGTACACTTATTTGGGAGATCAGGGATCTAGGACAGAACCTGATACATAGAGTCATCTGGGGTTAAAATAATGGAGGAATTTTTCTCTGCAGAAGAGCAACAACCACTTACCAAAACTCCCACAATGGGTTCAATCTTCCATCCAGCATTATGGTATGTGGATATAAAATAAAGGCAGAAAGTCCTGCAGTTGAATAGCTCTGGGTTGATCACTGTTCTCTGTGGAACAAAAGATCTTGAGTCCAAAAGCTCATGACTTTTATCGGTGTCAATCAGGGAGATGAGTGGGGTTTGCAGCAGAGTTCTAGGAAGAAGAAATTTACAGGCTTCAGCTGTAAGAAAAAATGGAGCAATTTTGTACCAGGCACAGAGGCCTCCAATTAGCAGTACAACAGATAGCTTGAAGTATGCCAGGCAGGCACCTTTAATGCCAGGAAGGTATAATGTTTTCTGAGTCCCATGGTCTCAACTGAGATGCTATATTGTGTCATAGCCCTGGAATCTCACAGGCTCCTGGTCGAGCCTCCATTCTAGCCATCATCAGGGGGTTACTCTCACCCACATGCTGCTACTTTGCTATTGATGGGTCTCATCAGAACCTTGACTGGACTTGATCACATTCTTTTGGCCAT